ATGACTTAGCCAGGGAACGTTGAGGGTTGTAAATGAACTGCAGGGCTTCATGATCACTCACAATAGTGAAATGAATACCATAAAGATACTTGTGCATAAGCGTGACAGCCCAATAGACAGCTAGAACTTCTTGTTGAGTTTGGGAATACCCACGTTCGGCAGCCATGAGGCTGCGTGAGATGCACAGCATCGGATGGTCATTCTGCTCCTACACAGCTCCAATTCCAACGGGCGATGCGTCCGTGATGACGGTAGAATGTAATCGTGGGAAAAAGGACGTAAAACAGCACTGGTAGATAAAAAGGAAAGTAAATTCCTCAAGGCACGTTCATGGACCGAAGTCCACCGAAATGTTTGCTGTGACTGTAAATCAAACAATGGTGCAGCTTGGGTTGAAAAGTTAGGGATAAACTTGGAATAGTATTGTAAAGAACCAATTAAAGAACGAAGCTCATGGAATGACTTGGGAGATGGAGCATTAGTCAACAAAGAAAATCAATTGGGGTCAGGACGAAATCCGGATTCATCAACCAAATAACCTTGACAAGAAAGTTTATTCATAGCAAAGGCACATTTATCAGGGTTAATAGAAACATTATGAGTACGGAATCTTCTTTCAAGCAAAGCACTCAAACGTTCGTCATGTAAGTGTCTGCTAGGCGCATGAACAATAATATCGTTCTGATAGGCGCATACACCTTGTTATCCGAAAATGATGGAATTATTAGTAGGTTGAAAAATAGTGGGGGAGACACTGAGTCCAAGAGGTAGAAAATTGTAGAGAAATAAACCAAAAGGTGTGTTAATATTTGCGAGTTCACGAGACTTTTCATCAAGAGGAGTTTGAAGAAATGCATCTTTCAAGTCTAGACTAGAGAAAAATTTGGATCCATGACGGTGCAGAATGTCTTCTGGTTCGACGGTGGCACTAGACTGTTTCAGGTGTCTGTTCACCGTGACTCGATAATCCCCACATATCCTAGGAGTCTTCCCGTCACATTTTAGCGAAAACAACAGAATGAACATTGGTAATTGTTTTCTAATGTCGTTGAAAATAAAAGTGATTACAATTAATTTAGAATAACATCGCGTTCCACTATTGTGAGCAAACCGGTTTCGTGCTCTTCTCACTAACCAATAGTTGCATAACCGTGACTTGACACGGCTATTCTGGTACTAATCGCTCGTTAGTTCACGTAACAGGGCAACGGTTCAATGCTGAAGGAATTTGCCACATTTTCACGCCCTTAATGTTCAAGGATATTCTTTAGCCCTGCATGCATATATTACCTCTGGGTATCCAGTATTCAGTATTAGTTGGCCACACGGTTGAAATTCATACAGGTGTGATAGAAGAAGTGTAGTTGCCTCGTGCACCACAATCTGATTGACCACTTCCTGTTGCATGAGCGTGTGGGCTAACCTGACCGTGTCACCCCAGGTATTAAGTGTCATTCGCACGGAACCAGAAATACCGGCGTAAATAGCTCCCGTGTGGTAGCCGATAGCCAGCTTAAATCCATCCGAATCCGGAAAATGAAGGTTGTTAAACTCATTCAACTGATGCAAAACAAGCAAACAGTATTCCATTAAAGCAACTAAATGCGCTCTTAAATCCGTACTGCGTCGTGTTTGTTTTGAAAACAATCCGGAACAAACCACGTAATAATGTTGCCAGGATTTGATTTTGTCCAATTCCCCAAAAGATGAATTAGCAAGGAGTTGATCAAGTGCACATATCAGTAGGTGTAGTGTTTTTATTTGCCGTATCGTTTTCTGTGTGTCGTCACTTTGAATCGCCCGGCGGAAGTTGATCACTCCGATGTGGGCCACACCTGCGTTCAAACTTTCAGTCCAGTAAGCACTTAATTTTCTTGGGTGGTGTAATTCCATCAAGCTGATTGCCTTTACACATTTATATAGCCCCGTAGGAATCAGAGCGGATATCAGATGATGGGTTTGAATCGATAGAGACAGCTTTTTCTTTTTCTGAGTGTTGCGTTCATGACGCTGATAGAAAACAATACGACAGATCAGATCATTCTCTCGGAATCCGGTCCAAGTCATCAAAATTATGGCCCATATTTCAAGCAAGTAAATAGACACACGTTGATCCCTATAAACGTCTGATTTGGACCGGTCGTAAGTGCACAGTAACGGAGATGCAGATTGTGCGTACACGTTGACCGAAGCGAAAATGAGCACGGATATTGTAATGCCACACAATCGAGTTACAAACCTTGATCTAGAAGGAAATATATGTGTCATGTATACCAGTGGTTCTAAGGCAATTATAAGCTGATATGCTGATTCATCGTGGACACCGTTGTCAAAGAATACAAGCATGTACGTTAAAAGGCACAGTGTAGGTGTCATTGACTGGAAAAATAATAGAACTTCACATACAACATTCTTGACAAACCATTTATGAATAAATTTCGGGTTGCATTTAGGCTTAGTGTCCTGACATGTGGGAGCCATAACCATTTGAATAAATAAATAAAGAATGGTAATCTGCGGAGCACAAAACACCAGGCACAATAATATAAACGATAGAAGCATTACTCCCGAAGGTTGAATGACGACATAGATTACAAGCATGATTAGAAACAAATGGATTGTCAAACTGATCATATCTGTGATGATGATCATACTGCTCGAGTCGAGCAGATGTCGATCGGATTCAAGGGATAGCTGGCTTTGATAGATCCGCTCTACATCCCGTTGAACGAAACACCTAGTCCAAAAGTTGATCGGAGTGTTTAAGTACTGAGTACGGAAATAATTTGGTGCTTCGTGAATGTTATTCGCCAGATATTGTACAGCCATTTGGTTCAATTCCTGTTCTGTTGGTTTATTAGCGGTATTAATAAGTTGCAATTCGGAATCCAGTGAGTAGGATCCACGAGGCAGTGATTCATCGACTTGTAGTTGTGATTTAATCACAGAAAAACGTAATCGATTTTCCAATTCAATCTGAATCGTATTCACTGGGTTTGGTACACGGTTCATTATCAATTCCAATCGATCGATTGCTTCCTCCGATGCAACTTTAATTTCTTCCGGTGTCAGGCGAAAGCTGGAGATGGATTTTGAACGTGGATGAACATAATACGTGTCCATCAGGAACAATTCGCCGTTAGGTTGAGTCAGTTCAATAGGATCACCCGGAGCAAATTGAAACTTGTCTTTGCATTGTTGGTAAGTGAGCTCTGTCACACGCACGCGTCCCGGTATACCAGTCGCTTGTAATTTTTCCACTATATTCATGTCATACGACAACAGATCTATCCGCGGTCGAATGTGTCCAATGAGAGCCGAGAAAATGGTGGATGTCAGGTGCACACCGACACGGACACGCAGTGGAGTCTTGTACTTGTGAGCCACACGTTTAATCATATAACACATCACCAAACCTAGTTCTATGCACAAATGACAGTGATTCTGTGCTTTTACAGGATCCAGGCCAGCGTAGGCGAAATATGTACTGCCAAAAATATCCAATTTTTCACATCCAACTCTCACACTTAGCTGATCCAAAACTGTGATTACCTTATGCNCTCCCACAAGCCACTCAATTCTGCGCACAATATACTCACACTTTGGAGCTCGGATTGTTCCACAAACGTGTCACTTATTGGGTCGGATTCAGTGAGGCTATTTCTAACCATGGATTTTGACAGAAAATATGCCGGTAACAGTTCCTTGAAAGTTAATATTTGCCGTTTTTCCAGTTCCAAACAAGCATTGTATTCATGTACGCTATCAGCCAGATAAAGAAATGCAAATTTCTGCCGCAAAATGCCCCATACGTGTAGCTGGATCCCACCGATGAGTGCAGTCAACCATATCAAAATATTGACCCAGAATGTTGTACGAACCCGGTGTTCATCTTCGGTCTGATAGCGGTGTTCGACCCATCTGCTTGAGATCAATTCGGCTGGTAACCAATCACTGATCAGATAAGCGGAGGCATACAAAACAAGCAAAACCACAACCAAATCGTATCGAACAGGGAGAAGCAAACAGAGAGCCACCAATAGCATGACACCTGTCATGAAGCCGGCCAGTTGTGGTTCGGAGTCATCCGCGGCCAGTAGGACAGACAGCGCCATGTTTTGAAGTATAATCAGAAAGGATGAGTTAAATACTCGACCAGGTGTTGTCATTCGGGCACTACAACAGTAAAAGATCACCGAACTCAATATGACAATCAAAACAAACACAATTCGAGTGGCGCTCACTTCGCCTTGCATCACACCAATCTCAGTAATTCCGATAAGTGAGTAGATTAGCGTAAGTCGAATTCCCGCGCGAAGCCTTCTGACCAGATGTCGGATTGACACTTCTTCATAAAATTGTCCAATGGTTGAAAATTCTTGGTTCACAACTTGAAAAAGTGTTCGAAGAATGATCGAAAATTTGGTTTTAATCGAAGCTTCGGCGTAACTGTTAGACAAAAATACATCTCGTACTTGTTCGCCCCAGACTGTGTCATCCTTCGACATTATGAAGAGGATATGGAGTGTGCTAGCGGCGATGTCGGTCAAAACCGAGATTGATTTTGATGTTCGACGACCAATCGAAAAAGGCCACACGATCCACGTGATCTGAGCGGTGGTGCTAATCGCTTTAGTTCAACACGGCGGGATGAAAAGTATGTTCAGTTACATCTCAGTGAACGAAAACTATGCCCCAATTTACAGAATGGAAGCACATTTTTTAACACCGGATTTCATTACAACTGAAAAAAACTATTGGGGATTAAAACGTTTGCCATTGTTGTTTGCTGGCTTGCTTATAAGCATACTTTTTGTCTCCTGTTCGCGCAACAATTTACAGTGCTTGAAAAGTCAAATGTATGAATAAATCAATTTTTTTCTACAAAGGTTGCGCCAATCTAGCATAATCCAAAACACCATGAAGGAGCACATCACGGATATCTTTCACTCATAATGAGCACATGCAGTTTGGAGTCAAAACATCTTTGGGGTTCTGGGGCCGGTGGGTCAACAGTGCTGATCTCAGCACGACA